ATCATGGACTAGGTGCTGTATGTGTGTGTGAACATATGCATATAAACATGCATATATTTATATATGTATGTACTTACATCTGTATTATATATTTTTACACACTCCTTTTATCCTTACAATAACCCTAAGAGAAGTGAGTGCAGAAAGTCAGGTAACCTTCTGAGAGTGATGGCTGGTTAATGGTTTAGCCAGGACTCAGAGTCCAGGAAACCCTGTTCCAGATCCCATAGTCTTTGCCATAACAGCCTGTTACTGTTCTCTTTCTCCCTGTCTTTCCTTTCTCTCTCATAGTTTTCTTTCTGTGCTTCCCCTTCCTTCCTATCTTCCCTCTTGCCCTTCCTTCCCTCCTTCCCTTCCTTCCCTCTTTCCCTTCCTTCCCTCCTTCCTTCCTCCCTCCCTTCATCCCTTCCTTCCTTCCTTCCTTCCTTCCTTCCTTTCTTCCTTCCTTCCTCCTTTGTCTTAAAAAGAGTTGAAATGGTTCACAAACATTTAGCTACAATTTATACTCAAACACACACACACACACACACACACACACACACACCCCTTAAATTAATAAAGGGATCAGGGGCAAGGTAAAAGCAGAGCAGGAGGTGAATGTGGCAGGTAGTTCACCTGGCCCCAGAATCTTAAGTGTTCCTCACTTCTGTGTCTTTCTGCTTCCAGTTGCACATCCAGCATACAATGTCTCAGCAGAAACAGAAGCAGTGCTGCCCCCCACCTCAGCAGTGCTGCCCTCCACCTCAGCAGTGCTGCCCCCCACCCAAGCAGTGCTGCCCTCCACCTCAGCAGTGCTGCCCCCCACCCAAGCAGTGCTGCCCCCCACCCAAGCAGTGCTGCCCTCCACCTCAGCAGTGCTGCCCTCCACCTCAGCAGTGCTGCCCTCCACCTCAGCAGTGCTGCCCCCCACCCAAGCAGTGCTGCCCTCCACCTCAGCAGTGCTGCCCCCCACCTCAGCAGTGCTGCCCTCCACCTCAGCAGTGCTGCCCCCCACCTCAGCAGTGCTGCCCTCCACCTCAGCAGACCAAGCAGACTTGCCAGCCTCCACCCAAATGCAAGGAGCCCTGTGTCCCCAAGTGCCAGAAGTCCAAGTACAAGTAAGCCTGGACATGTGACCAGAGACCAAGCCCCCAGGGAAAACGGAGAGCAAGAAGTCATCCCCCTCCCTCCAACAGCCAGCTGTCAGCCACACTCACCCGGCTTCTAGATTCAGCCACACTCGGGAAAAGGCAGAGCCAGGATGACGGCTTCCTCGATCTCTACCACTTATTAATTAACAGCAGCAATTTCCATCTCAGACAAGAATCTGGCTCTAAACAGTCTAATCATCTTTGCTGACATGTATCTACATCGCCCTCTCAGCTTCTTGAAAACCTAGGCATCATGCCCTGGCACCCTTTCCGATCACCCTCCACTTCTGCTCCTGTTTTCCAAATAATTAAATGTAAATCCTCTGGTACTAATGTCTGATCATTTGCTGTTGGACAATTTTACAATCCTGCAGATTTTGTATTTCACTCCTTACCCCAGAGCCCCAGGAGAGTGGGGTGTTTGGTGCATGGAGAGGAGAAGGCAGAGGGGTTACACTTCTAAGCTGGTGATGCAATGGTCCTGCCCAGAGAAGGAAAGGCGGGGCACAGAGTCACACCCTATATCCACAGAAAGTGAGAACACCACATGAAACCAGAGGTCGGGGTGATGACCACCTGGAGAATGTCTGCAAGGAAAAGACAGCCTCCTTGTAGGCCAGGAAAGATAAGGGAGCTCCCAGCCAAGAGCTACATGTTAGATGAGAAAGACTGAGGTAAATCAATTGTAATTCAGAGAACACACTCCAGGGGCTTATGGGTCAAAAGGAATTGAGGATATAGGCTTAAAAATTCACCCATCAGTAAAGGAAAAGACCAAAGTTTCTTCACATTAACCATAGGTAGTTAGAAAGCAGTCTGTGCAAACATGATATAACCAACACACACATATGCACTGTCAATATTTGATCAAAACCGCAGTTCCCATTTTCCTTTAGTTGGGGATTCTCCTGAGCTATTTTCCCCCACCAACCTCCTATTTTCAACTTTCTACATTCACAGGGGATTGAGGTAACCAGATAATTATGACCAAGTAATCCAAACTTCTTGTTTCTATTACTTCTGCTACCCACCCAACCCATTCCATCCCTTTCCACCAAACCTTTCTCTTGCAAAAAAAAAAATCTACAAATTAGGGTATTTGAATCTTCTTTCCTACACCTGTCTCCCCTTTTATGCCTCCGGACTCCAGAGGAATCACTAGGAATCAGCAGAAGTACCAAAAAGGAGCCAGCAGGAAAAATGGCATAAATTGAAGGTCTGGATTATCCCCAACATATATTACAGACCCTGGAGAATGCACAGTTAGCTAAAGACCAAAGCTTTTAGCATTGCTTCCCTGGATGGTTGGGCTCTTCTTCCATCAGACCTTCTTCAATGCCTTTAAACTATGTCCCATCCATCCATCTACATATCCATCACCAATCCTCTATCCGATCTGTGCACCCTTAGTAAGCACCACCCCTCCCATTTTCTCAGAATATGATGAGTTCTGCAAAACAGAAACACAGCACAGGGTCGTGGGCCTCTGGGCTTAACCATGCCCATAAGAAGACTTAGCTGAAACCCCTGAGATAACAATTAGACAAGGTGGGGTCTAATTAAGGGATGACTGGGCAGGACAGGTACCTCATTCCTGCCCTCAGAGTTCAGATGAGACAGAGAACAATGAGAGCTGTGGAGGGGAGGAAGGAGAACTTGGCCATCTCTGTCATCACAGCACCAATGAACCATGGGGCTCCCAGAAATGTCTGCCCAGTGACGAACACCTGGAGAAGGGGAGATTCAGAATAGAATGAGAGTGGGACTTGACCAGAAAGGGAGGAGTACATTCCACAACTGGGCACAGCATGAGCCAATGCCATGAGTGCCAAGCGTGCCCAGGAGGGTCAGCCCTCCAGCATATAAGCCTCATCTATGGTGGTTATAGAGCGTGACCTCCACAGCCACCTACACCAGCTGGACACCACAAAGGATGGTTCCAGCCTTGTGACCTATGTCTCATAAACATTTCCCTTAGAGTGTTACATTCAAGTATGACATATAACTCAAGTATGACATATGAAAAGCTTTGGAAAATGATATAAACCTTAACTCCCTGAAATATAATTAGAAGTTTTAAACTTTCCCCACATTCGAATATCTCATTCAATATAGTCTCCAAATGTCTTCACTCTTATCCCCTCCCCCATACATTGTCTTTCCTCTCTCATGTAGAATCCCACTCCCCCTTTCCTTACCCTTCCTCACTCAGCAGCTTAACATAAGGTTTAATTTTGCCTCTCTTGGCTTCATTTAGTTCTCTCCTCTGCCAATGACCATAATTAGCATATGTGCACAGGTACTTGTGTGTGGGCCTTCTTCTGACTTTTCTTTTGTGCCCATTATGCTCGGTTTGGATCCCAGTATGATCCTCTCGTGACCTGAAATGAATTACATAACTTTTCTAGGTCTCACTTTTCTCAAATGCATTAAGGGGAGAATATCTCTTGCGGTTAAAGGGGGGTGCATTTCAATGAGACAAGTAAATAAATAGCAAGCATAGCATGACCCTTAAGAAGTGTTTGATCAATGTTATCTATTATCTTTATTATTATTCTCCAAGTTCTGACAGAGTAACAAACCCACAGGCCTCTTATTCCCACCAGCTTGAGGACATGAGCTCTAGACTTTTAATGATACAAAGCTGTGAGGGACAGGGCACATTTGGAGCAGGGGGCAAAGGCAAGGACCAAGTAAGTAGAGTTGAATGGGTCTGAGTGGGTGCTCACAGAGAGAAATAAGACTTAGTCTAAACCCATTTGGTGGTTACCCTTTTCTTCCAGAAACTTCCCTTTCTTTAATACCTTCCTACAAAGCTTCCTGCTCTCAAGGCAGTCCTGAGCAGCTCTGGTCCACAGGATTCCCACCTGTCAGTTCACACAGTCAGCCATGTCTTTCTGAGTCAGGCTTTGCTCCCTGGAGGCAAGAACTGAGGCTGTCAAGCTGAGAACACGTTCACAGGGCAGGGACCTGACTGACCCGATGTGTGCCAAGTATTTACACATGCTGATGCTGCCCTGCTGAATTAGGTGTTGCTATTCCCATTAGAGTGGAGAACTGAAGTTCTGAGAAGTTCCTTACTTGCTCACAGTAATACAGTTTATAAATGGCAGACCCAAGATTCAAAGTTGGAACCCTCTGGCTTTCTGGTCTGTATTCTTTGCAACATGGCACTGAGCATGCTAATGACTGGAATCCTCTCTTTCCAGAACTTGCAACCCACCAATCCACTGGGAAGGCAAGGCCGGCATGTTCACACCCAGTCTCATACTCATACTTGTTTGCCCAGGGATATACACTCATACATGTTCACACACTCACATAGATCACACACACAGAGTTGTTATTCAAAGTAAATTCTATAGCTTTGGAAACTGGCACTGAACATGAGACCAGAAGCTGCCCAGTGATGAATGCCTAGAGAAGGGGAGATTCAGAGTAGAATTAGAATGGGATTTGGCCAGAAAGGGAGAATAGTATCCCACAATAGGAGCCTCTGGAGCAGCAGCCCAGAGGCCCCTGCTATGGCATTGGTCACCTATTTCCTGATGGCATGGAGGACTCAGCTGGGCATCTAAGGTGGTGGCAGGGCCACTGGTAGACAGGGGAGTTGGTATAGTGGCTATTTGTCATCTGAAGTAGTTTAATATTTTAACTATGGGTACATCAGTACTTATATATACCTGCATGTACCTACTGAATATCACCCCTGTGCACACTCACTCTTGCACACTCATGCATGCTTCCACCTTCACATTCATATTCCCACACATACACATTCACATGCTCTCACACAAGGTCACAGCTCACATAACTGCATGCTGTCAATCACACTCAAATACATGTTTGCACACATTCAGACACCTAGACACAAACACTGGCATTGTCATTGTCATTCAAGTACAGTCTCTGTTCTCATGTTCAGTGGCTTGCTCTCTCTTTCTCCAGGCCTCTGCCAGAAGGAATGTTTGACCATCAGTCTTGAGTGCATTTTCACAGAACAGAGATTCCAGGATGAAGGGTGTGGTGCCACATATTCTTAATGAAGAAAGTCCCTGGAAGGAGGTATGTGCAGGAGAAAAAACACCCACCCATCTTGGAACCTGACAGGCCTGAGTTCAATCCCCTATTCCTTACTTTATTCATTGAGTAACCTTGGCCAACTTCTCTAAGCTGAAAATGAGGATAACTCAAATTTCAAGGTCTGAATTAGAGACTCAAGCAGATAGGCAGTGGTGGTCTGCCCATCCTTCATCCCCTTCCCCACAAGCCACTTGAGAAAATGAAGGCACCTCAGCCACAGGGGGACCGGGCACACACCCTGCTCTGCCTCAGGGGGATCCCTGGCTGTTAATGACATTCAGAAGAAAGACTCCAGTTCTAGCTACCACAAATCCTGTGGCAGCAGCCCTGCCTGTGGGTGTGGTCCAGTTTGGTTGCTCTGCCTTCCCCTGCATGTTTGTACACATGGCATGGATGCCTGGCGCTCCTGGGGGAATCACAGACAGATGTCTGGCACTGAGATGCAGCAGGCTTGGCCTGTGCCCAGGTCTGCTGGAGCACCTCCCAAGTCACTGGTGCCACCTGCGTCCATGTGTGTGTCAGTGCTGTTGTTGTCTGGTCTGTCCAGGGCAGAGAACAATCATTGTTGACAATGACTCCTGGCTTCTGGAATTTATTTTAGTCCCCTGTCTTCAGAATTTTCACCCCAGCTATTAGGTATTAGACTATGGCTACTTCTGTCTCACTCTTCAATGTGAGTCTTCTGGGTCCCCAAGGGCTGAGGGAACAAAGACGTCACCTTCAATACCTTCAGTGGGTTTTAGGAGGCACTATAGTTCTAAATTAAGAACACTAAACAAAGAGGCTTGAAACCCAAATTCTTGTCTTGGTTCTGTCCCTGGCCTCCTTGTGATCCTGAGCAAGTCATTTCCTTTCCCTAGGCCTCGGTTTCCTCATCTGCACGTGACATTATGGAGCTTGCTGGGTTCTTTCTCAGCTTCCTTCCCACTCTGACTCAGCATGAGGTGACTCACTGTAATCTTTATTTGATCTCTTCTTCCCCTAATTAGTCGCAGTCACGAAAAAACCTTAAAGAGGTAAGGATGGAATAGAGCCACCCAGGTACCAGACATTTTGTATGGCTTCCTTGAAGAGGCACAGAGCAAGTTTAGCTAAAATCCACATCCATATCGAATATTCTTTAATCCTAGGACTAACTTACTTCCCAATACAGATCCAAAAAACACACATAGTCTATGGGGAGATATATATTGAAAATATATATGTATATATATAATCTGTACAAATGTACATATTAACTATTTACACACATATATGTATATATGTCTATACACATACATATGTATCCAAAGGTAGTTAATTACTACTATAAGCAATGCAGTATTTTAATGCTGTTATCCTATACAATATTTGTTAGTACAAAAAGAGATAAAAAATCTTATTTTGCAAATGAGAATAATAAGACCCAAGGAGGTAACAAACTTTGCCCCAAGACCACACAGCTAGTAGCTGACAAGCTGGAATTCAAATCCAGGTCTGTCTTTTATTTAAGCCCATCTTTTTGACTAATTCTACTCTTCCCCCATGGTTAACCTGAAAACTTTTCCTGGGCAAGCAGGGAATGAGCTGTTCTCATTTGCATTTGTGGTGCTTGGTTCAGAGAGAACTCTGGGTGGTGTCTAACGGAATGCTTGGATGCTACTTCTGGCCTCTGTGGAACTGGCCAGGAGCCCTTTTCTTGCTCATCATGGCCTTGAAAAAAAAACAAAGACTAAATGCCAAGACAAATGTGTACGCAGCTAGAGCATTGGGGAGAGGGTAAGAGATTAGCCTGTAGTTTTTAAGACCAACTGACAGCAGTCAGCTACATTTCATTCAAGTCTTCATGGAATGTCTTTATTCCATCCTCGGCTTGAGATGGGTCAGGATGGTGGCCTGTGTCTTAGCTCCCTGCATACAATGTGTGTGTGTGCATGTGTGTACATGCATGCATATATGCTCTTCTCTTTGTGGGTAGTCTGGGAAGTTCTACCAGCTACCTTAATCTTAATAGTTTCCTGCTGTTCTCCCATCATGTCTTATATTATAACTGGGCCCCCTGGGAAGAGAGATATAAAATCAGAATCTTGGTCTATAGAGGCTCTTTTTGACAGTTTTTACAACAGACTGGGGTAATGAATAGAAGAATGTCCACTTTCCTATCCAAGGGGGCTGGTGATCATTAGATGCAGGATGGGTGGCATGAAAGGAAGGAAAGTAGGAGAGACAGGATTGGACAGCAGGGACCAGTGACCTTGTGAAGAGGTAACCAAGGCCAGACATGTGCTCAAGACACCCACAAGTTCCATTGGGGTTGATTACCAATTCCTTCTATCGCAAGATTGGACCAAGATGGACTATCTGCCCCAGGGCTGGAGCTAAATGATTTTTGTGGGAGAAAGACTAAGAACTGAGTGGTAATTAATGCTGTCTCTGTGAGAAATCTCCACCAGCTGAAATTAGACATGGTCCTTTGAGGTGACTAGTGGAAACAAATCCCAAAACAAGACACATGGATCTTCAGTTCTCAATCTTGGAGATGCAGCTTGTATTTGGAGATCTTTTGATAATGATGACTTCCTCTATTTAAGACCTGTGTCAGAACTAAAATGAAGCCAGAGCAGCCTTTAAACAGGATTGTGCTAAAGGCTTATGACCAGAGAGGAATGAACCCAGAGCAGGACATGTAACCAGATCATCAGGTTGGTAAAGTTGGTCCACTCACTCTCAGCACAAGCTCCACTACAAGGGTGCCTTCCTGGACACTCCTGTCCTGCCTTCCTGCACAGAGGTCTCCATATCTTCACATTCTAGAGGCACACTCCAGCATCTGCAGGCTTTCCACAAGCTAGACCTGTGCTTCATAATTCTTCCTCTACTCTTTCAATAACTGTGCTTTGTTAAAGTAGTGATTATTAAACGGAAAAGATGGCAGGGGTCTAACAGCAAAGGTCCAGAAGCCTTTTGTGAACCCCCAGGGCAGATTTAAATGTCCAGTGTCTTCCCTAGAGTGCTACATTCAGCTGGCCTGGAGATTTTCACCTGGTCACTTGTCTTTCTGCTCCACTCACTGCCTGTTTGTTCAACGAGCACAGGGCTTGGCACAGGTAGTCCCTCATCGGCATAAGCTGTGTTGCTGAAGGTCCTACATGTTCAGACTACTATGGGGCTCTGAGGAAGTGGTTCCACACTTGGTTGGGGCAGTCTTTAGCAGAGGCCTGCTCCCAACAGGCACTGTTTTTCTGCTCAGCAACCCCTCATCCTGCAGTCTACCAACTCCCTGCAAGAACCACATCTTGTGGCCTGTGTGTCTGAGTCCTGACTGTCTCACATGCCTTGTTCTAGAAGGATGCAGCAAAGAGGCACAATGAGTATGTAGTCTGGGAAGAAGCAGCATGATAGCAGCATAGAGCTCAGTCTTAGAACCAAACTGACATGGGCTTGAATTCTGGCCCAATGACTTACCAACTACATGACTTTGCGTGAGGCACTTAACCTCTCTGGGTTTCAGTTTCCTCATTTGCAGGGATGGGGTCAACAATGTAGAGACCTGCATTTTATGTAGTAGCTGTTTAGTAAATGGAAGCCACTGCAGTGAGAGCTTCTATTGCTCTCCATCCAGGTTGGCTCTCCTGAACTCCCTTGTGTCCTTCCCCTCTTCCCACCCTATGCACTGACTCAAACCAGTCTGTCTACATGGAAACCCCACAGCCATCTACAACCAGCAATGGCACCTTCGAAAGGTGTTGGCTCCCATGGAGAAGCAGCCAGTCCCTCCCTCAGGGGCTCCTGTGGTCCAGCTTGAGAAGCCATTGGAATCAGAAGAGTATTGGCTGAGGTCCTTAGTCCCTCTGCCTGTAAAGTGAGGTGAGGGATCACTAGGGTCTCCTGGGGCCTCTGAGTCTGTACCAGTGAGAACGCTGATGCTATTTAACAATGCTGCACAGGCCCAGCAGGTGGCACTCTGCCCTAACTACCTAGGGACTGACATGCCTTGTGGTTCGGTTTAAGGTCTGGTGGGCATAGTGAGGAAAGAGATGGTTTATTTAGTTTGCTAACCTCAGACAAAAAGTCATTTGTAGGAAAATATCAATTACCTTCAAGCAGAAGAAACTATTCTTTACAGGCCCACACCACCTTCACGTCTCTTTCCCTCCTCCTACATCCCACCCCTGGGGGCAGGCACAGGCACATCTGCTCATGCGCACCCACAAGTGTATACACACACACACACACACACACACACACAGTTACCTGTTAGTATGCACTGGATTTAAACATTTCTTTTCCATTTGGCCAGAGTCAAGAAGAACTAGGAGTGCAACTACCTCGGGAGAAAGAATTCAATTCTAGTGCATCCCACTATAGCAGTCAGAAGGGGCTAAGTCATGTTTCAGGAACCAGTGAGCCCCAAATCTCAGTGGCTTAAAACAACAAAGGCTTTTTTCCTGCTCACTTTTCCTATTCCAAGGAGGGTCAGCTGCAGTCTTACCACACAGTAATTTAATTTCAGCATGCTGGCTGGCAGTGTAGCCCAGATCTGGAACACAGCACTTCCCCTGGCAGGGAGGAAAGAGTGCATGCTAAATTCTAGGCTGTTCCAGTTTAGATTTTATGGGCAAAGCAAGTCACTGGCCAGACTGCTGCCATCAATGGGGCAGTGAAGGGTACTTCCTGGGGGAGTGGGGCACAGGCAACCAAGCATTTATGAACGTAGCATAATCTGCCTCACTCCCAGAAGAGATTCTTGGATATCTAGCCCTTGGAATTATCGATCCCGGCTTGGTCTTCTTTTGAACTATGAGTCTAGAAAAATCAACAAATGTTTATCAAGTTCTTCTGTATGCAAAAGACTGCCGATACCCTGAGGAGGAGGAAGAACCACAATCCAGCAAGGAAGAAACACAGGCTGCAAACAAAGCACACAGAAGGCCTGTTTGACTGGGGCCAGAATGAAGGGAGGAAGTGCACCAGGAAGAGGGAGCCAGTGATGTGGAGGAACC